GACAGCCCAGATCACTCCCGGACTGTTGCACAGACTGACAGGCATAGGACCATATTTCCTGAGACTTCAGGGCCTTTGAGAGGGTGGGTACTTTGCCTCTTGGCCTCTGGGGGGTCATGAGAAGTGTTTGGGGGAAGTTCTTCTTCCTTATCTGAGGGCTCTGCACCGTCTACCAGTGCAAAGAAAAACACGGGTGTGGCCCCATGCCCAGCATACCCCTGGTAGTAGGAGGGTGTCCTTCCCGGGCCAGTAGAGGCCAGGCCTCAGTTGAGCACTTGGCACAGATCATTCCTTCTGAGGCCCGAACTGGCCTGCCTCAACCCTGGAGCACAGACCACCTCCCCGAGGTTCGGTTAGGTCTCCCGTCCACCTGGGGACGGGGGTCACCACCCTGGGCCCGCCTCCCTTAGACCCCGAGCCCTGCCTCGTCTCTCCAGGCTGGACCGCGGTCTCCGCCGCCCAAGGCCCGGGTCAGCTCCCTCCGCCCTGTGCTATGGGGCACGGATCCCCTTCCCCCACGCCTGACGGCCCGAACCCAGGTGAGCAAGAGCCGATGGGGGAGACCCGGAGCGACGCGCCCGCCCACCAGTCCCGGGCCCGGCCCGAGCGCGCTCCTCACCGGGTCCCAGCGCCTCCATGGCGGCGGCGGGGGCCGCCTCGCCCCGGTCCCCGGCGCCTCCCGCTCCGGGCCCCGCCGCCGCCGCCGCCGCCGCCGCGTAACGCTTGATCTCCGGAATATTGGCGCTGCGGGGGGGCGCCGCGGAGACGCGGGCGCTGGGCAGGGGGCGGCGGCGGCGCCCGGCCCGGGGACAGGGACGCGGCTCCCGCGGCTCTTCCGGCCTCAGCGACAACAAAAACAATCCCCGCCGCCGCCGCCGCCGCCGCCAGCGGGAGCGGGAGCGGGAGCCAGCGCGCGCGCCCGCCGGGCGGGGAGGAGGCGCGGGGCGCGCCCGACCCAGGGTCCCGGCTCGAGGAGGGGGCGTGCGCGGCCCCGGGCGCCCGGTGCACGGAGCCCGGCGGGGGGCGGGACGGGGTGGGGCGGGGGCGCGCGCGCGCCCGGAGGGGGCAGTGCCCCGAGGACGTGTCGGGGGCGCGCGCGCCCGTTCGCGCTGCCCAGCCGCCCAGGACCGCCGACCCGGCAAAAGGCGGGCGGGGCGGTGATTCGTGCGGTGGTCCCAGAGCCTCCCGGCAAACCGTACCCCGCAAAAGATCGGGATTCCAGACCCCGCTGATCCACAGACACAGTTCACCACTTCTGGCGGTGGAAAGTGCCCTGTGATTCACATCAGGCACCTCTCCTCCTTCCTCCCACCTCAGACCCCTTCTTTCTCCTCTGTCTCCTCTTTCTCTCCTGTCCTGGGACAGAGGACACCAGGGTCACCACAGACGGAACACTTTTCCTCCATTGCTTCATCCAGATCGCACACCCAGTTGCCTTTCCCTCCCCATGCAGCCTGAAAGCACCCCGGGAATGGACCATGATGCATGATGCATTCTCTTGCTAGTCACACCACAACCACCTCTGGTCAGCAAGTCACCAAGCACTTCAGAAGGGCAAGTCTTGCTTTCTCACATGACTTCCTCTTAGCCGCCAAGAGCCAAGGGAGCAACAGCCACTCCAAGGCAGCATGGCCCGCCCAGTGGGAACTTCTGAGTTGGAGAGCACAGCACTACAGCCCAAGAAGCAGTTTCTAGTCAGCAAAACGAGGGAGCCTTCTGCCCACCAGTTAAAAGGGTACAATGCGTATGTCTTGTTTGCTAGGGCTGCCATCACAAAGTACCACAGACTGAGTGGCCTAAACAACAGAAATTAATTTTCTGGCAGTTCTGGAGGCTGGACGTCCAAGTCCAAGGACGGGTTTCTTCTGAGATCTCTCTTTTTTGCTTGTAGATGGCCGTCTTCCCACTGTGTCTTCACGTGATCTTCCCTCTGTACATGTCTGTGTCAAAATGTCCTCTTCCTGTAAGGACACCCATCATGCTGGATTAGGGCCCAACTTACAGACTTTGTTTTAACGTAATTACCCCTTTAAAGACTCTATCTCCAAATACAGTCACATTCTGAGATAGTGGGGTAAGGATTTCAGTATATGAATTTCATATGTTCAGCCTGTAACATGTATAATGAGATATTCATTTGAGCATCAAAGCCAGAGAGCCAGGTAATTTTTGCATGTAATGATAAAAAATGTTAGGGGCATACCATGGCCAGGCATTGTATTATGGGCTTCACATGTCATTTAATCTTCACAGTGACTATAAGGTAGATATTGTTAAGGAAACCAAAGTTCAGGGAAGCTGAGGAAGTCAGGCTCTGCGTTATATGATACCACAGTGAAGGATGGAAAAATTGGAGTTCTAAATCCTGCATTCTAGTTCTGGCTGCTTCCATCCCTGACTGGCGATGGAAGTGGGACTTTTAATTGAGTGACTAGATTCTATAGTGACGGATACTACATTCGAAGTTCTTTCCATAGCACCATACTTCTCTGTTAAATCAGATATTAACTGGAAATAGTAAGAGGGGACAGCAAGTTTGAAGAGGAGGAAGTAGTCATTAAATGAACAGACAGGTTTACAGCTAAGAGTATAAGAAAAAACAACTAGAGATCAAGCTTTGAGTTAAACCTAGTAGCCACCTCCCTTCTTCTCTACTCCAGGCTAAATTCCTCCCATAGTTTAAACAGTGCTGGTGGCTTCCAGCCTGAGTTGAGGCTGATTTTCAGTCTCCCACTTCCTAACAGATTTCCCCCATGTCCTATTTGGTACCCTGAGCAAGGATGATAGCTTGTTTCCTGTACCAAAAATAGCCTCAGAAACCTGCGTATGAAATGTATTTACCTTGTTTCAGTCAGGACTGCAATGCCTCAATCCCCTGTCTCTCACTCTGTTATTCTTGACCACTCTGATCATCTACATTCTCCTTCCCAAACCCACTCTAGCACCCACTGGCCCCTTCCCAAAGACCCTTCTAAGCCCTCCCAAACCAAAGTTCTATAGTCAGTAAAGTCCCCTAAGCCTTGGCCTGTTCAGCAAGCCCTCCCTCCACTTCCTGCTGTGGCTGAGTAGAAGCCATGCCCCAGAATACCACTTCCCCCTCAGCTCTCTCTGATGGTGGCTGCTCATTTTCCTACACCGCCCATATCTACAGGACAGGGTGGGGGCTGGGTAGAGAATCAGCAATATGTTTGCCCCCATTGTCCCAAACCTTGAATTCTCATTCTCATATTAAAACCACTTGCCATCTGGCCAGACCACTATAGGGCCTCCCTTGGTGGTATAATTAACTCAGCCCCCGGTCTTCTATCTCAGTCCAGGCTTAGCTCCCAATGCATTATAAATCCTTGAAGGCAGGGCTCATGCCTTATTTGGGTATTCAGGTTTGTGTGTCTGTTGCCTAACACATTATATGGCACCAAATGCCTACTCAGGGAAATTTATGGAATGAATGAATGAATGAATGAATGAATGAGCAAGTAATGTGTAAATAGTGGGAGCTAGAAATGGTCCAACGGAGGGGCCTAGGTGAAAAACTCTGGGTGAACTTCCAGCTTCTCCAGAGCACAGACTTTCAAATCAGATGATCCTGGGTTCAAATCTCAGTTCTATAGCATACTAGCTCCAAGTACCTGGGACAAGTCCCTTCACCTACTGCTAAAGGAGTCAGTAAGGAGGAAGTCAAGTCATATATGCACATGTTCCTGTGTGCTTGGCCCAATATATGTGCCCAATAGTCACTAATTTTCATCCCTTCCCTCCTTTCCCCGGGCTAAGAGCTGCTCCCCTGCCACTCTCTTGCTGTCCTTTGAGAGACAGTGAACCCAAGATCTCAGCCCAGTCCAAGAGAGGGGAGAGGACTGTCAGGGACTGAGCATGTTTTCACATCCTGTGCCTGAGCCACCTGAGGACAGGAATTTGGCTCACCCATCTGGGGGTGAGAGCCAGAACATGCTCAGTCAAGGTTTATGAATGAAACTAAACCTCTCAAATATGTCAATGCTCCCCTGAGACCAGAAGGAGCCAGAGGGAGACTTCCTATCAGACACTGTGCCAGAAGGCTGGGTTCCAGCCAGCAGCCCTATTTGTGACACTCCAACCCTTGTCTGGGCCACTGGCCTCTGTTGATGTTTTGACTCCTCAGCCTCTCCTCATACTAACGTTGCACAAGTCTGGAGCTTAGAAGTTGGGGAGGAACTTCTTTGCAGTTGATCAGTTGGGCCAAGGGCTTTCATTCTTCTTTAGCTGGGGAACCCCTTATTCAAACAAAAATCTTAAGTGGGAGCTGAAGTGGAGCCACTTGGCTGAGGAGGACAGGGACCTGCACTGGACACTACTGAACCAGACTAGCTTGCCAAGAGACACCACCTGGCATCCAAATGGAATTTCTGCCCACCTGCTCCTACTCTACTGGCAGCCTCATTCTTTTGTATTTTTTTAATTGAGATAAAATTCACATATGATAAAATTCGCCATTTTAATGTGTAAATTCAGTGGTTTTTAATGTATTCACAACATTGTGCAATCATCACCACTATCCAATTCCAGCACACTTTCATCATCCAAAAAGAAACCCTATACCCCAGCCCCTGGCAACCACTAATTTACTTTCTGTCTCTATGGATTTGCCTATTCTGGACATTTCATATAAATGGAATAATACAGTATGTGCTCTTATGTATCTAGTTTCTTTCACTTACCATAATGTTTTCAAGGTTTACCCATATTGTAGCATGCATCAATACTTCATTGTTTTGTTTTGTTTTTAAGTAGGCTCCATGCTCAAGATGGGGCCCAATGTGGGGCTTGAACTCATGACCCTGAGATCAAGACCTGAGCTGAGATCAAGAGTTGGATGCTTAATTGATTGAGCCACCCAGGCACCCCACTACTCCATTGCTTTTAATGCTGAATAATACTCCATTGTATGTATACACTGTATTTTGTTGATCCATTAATCAGTTGAAGGACATTTGGATTGTCTCCATTTTTGGCTATAATAATGCTGTTATGAACACCCATGTGCAAATTTTTGTGTGGATACATATAAGTTTTGTGTGGATATATAACTTTTCACTTCTGGGTATATACCTAGGAGGAGAATTGCTAGGTTATATGATAACTCTATGTTTAACTTTTTGAAGAAATGTTTTCCACAGTGGCTACACTATTTTATATTCCCATCAGCAATGTGTGAGGGCTCTAATTTCTCCACATTCTTGCCAATATTTTTTATTTTCAGATTTTAAAAAATTATACCTATCCTCTTGGGTATGAGGTGGTATCTCATTGTGTATTTGGTTTACATTTCCCTAAGGACAGATGGTGTTGAGCATCTATTTATGTACTTGTTGTCTATTTGTATAACTTCTTTGGAGAAATGCTGATTCAAATCTTCTGTTCTTTTTATTTTTTTAAAAGATTTATTTATTTATTTGAGGTGAGGAGGGGCAGAGGGAGAGAAATCCTCAAGCAGATTCCCCACTGAGTGTGGAGACTGACCTGGGGCTCAATCCCAGGACTCTGAGATCATGACCAGAGTCAAAATCAAGAATTGGACATTCAACCGACTGAGCCACCCAGGTGCCCCTGAAGCACAAAAGTTTTTAATTTCAACAATCTAATTTTTCTCTGATTGCTTGTGGGTTTTTGCTATCATATCTAAGAAACCTAATCCAAAGTCATGAAGATTTATTCCTATCTTGTCTTTTAAGCATTTTATAGTTTTAGCTCTTACATTTAGGTCTTTGATCTATTTGGAATTTACTTTTGTATATGATGGGAGGTAGGGTTCAAATTTATTCTTTTGCATGTACATACAGTTGTCCAAGCACCATTTGTTTAAGACTTCTTTCCCCCATGGCCTACAGCCCTTGTCAAAATCAATCAACTGCAAATGTAAGGGTTTATTTTTGGACTCTCAATTCTATCAATCTTTGTCTTTTTTTATGCTAGTATCAATCACACTGTCTCAATTACTATAGCTTTGTAGCTTGGAAATCAGGAAGTGTCAGTCCTCCAACTTTGTTCTTCTTTTTCAAGACTGTTTTGGCTATTCTGGGTCTCTTGCATGTCCAGATGAAAGTTAGAATCAGCTTGTCTGCGTCTGCAAAAAAAAAAAAAGGGCAGTTGGAATTTTGATAAGCATTATATTCAATCTGCAGATTAATTTGAGGATTATTGCTATTTTGACAGTATTAAATATCACAATCTATAAACACAGGATATGTTTTCATTTCTTTAGTTCTTCTTTAATTTTTTTCAATAATGTTTTGTAGTTTTCAGAGTGCAAATTTTATACTTCTTTGGCTAAATTTATTCCTGAGTATTTTATTCTTTTTGGTGCTATTATAAGTGGAATTGTCTTCTTAATTTCATTTTTGGATTGTTCATTGCTAATATATAGAAATACAATTGATTTTTTTATGTTAATCTTGCATCCACAATCTTACTGAATAAGTTTATTACCTCTAGCAGTTAATTTGTGTGTGTGTGGATTTTTTTAGCATCTTCTATATATAAGATCATGTTATCTGCAAATAGAGATAGTTTTAACTTTCTCTTTTCCAATACAGATGCTTTTTCTTTTATATTCTTACTTAATTGCCCTAAACCTCCAGTACCATGTTGAATAGAAGTGACTCTCTCTCTCTCTCTTTTTTTTTTTTTTAAGAAGTAGCCCTTTTAACAAACTAATGGTTACCAGAGGGGAGGAGGGACAGGGATGGAGGAAATGGTGATGGGATTAAAGAGTGCACTTGCTGTAGTAAGTACCACGTGTTGTATGGAAGTGTGGAATCACAGTATTGTACACCTAAAGCTAATATTATACCATATGTTAACTAACTGGAATTTTAATAAAAACTTAAGAAAAAAAACGGGTTTTTTTTTTTTGGTGGAGTCAAGATGGAGGAATATATGCGAGAGCCTTGCCCTTGCGAACTGTGGATGATTGTGGTGGGGCCTTTACCATGGATACCATAGATGGTGGTATCTTTCAAGCACTCAAAGATTTTTACAATTCTCCAGTGGGAGTAAACCACAGACTACAAGGGAGTTTCACAGCTATTAAAACCAGGGCTCCGCGGTTGGGAGATAGCTTTGCAGTTTGTGAAGGTTTATTTTTCATGACTGACTGCACTGTGGTTCAAGTCAGAGCGAAAGAAGATCCCTCAAACTCCTTCACAACTGTTGCCTTAACAGGAGCCATACTGACAGCAAGAAATGGACCAGTGGCCATGGTTGGGTCAGCAGCGATAGGTGGCATTCTAGCTTTAATTATAGGACCTGGTATCTCATTGACAAGATTTGCCTCTGCACGATTTCCCAATGGTCCTCAGTTTGCTGAAGACCCCTCTCAGTTGCCTTCAGCCCAGTTACCATCCTCACCTTTTGGAGACTATTGGCAATATCAATAGGACTTCTTTCCCAGGATTTCTTTAACAGAATGAGCTGTAGTTCAAGAAGGGATTTCAGAAGGTAAGTTATGGTCTGTTTTTAAAACCATAGGTGGGACAACTATGGCCACACAGGCTTTGAAGAGACACTTAGCTCCTTTTTCTATTTAAAGGAACATGGTGGGGGGCAGATGTTAAAAGATAATACATTTATTTATTCACACTTGGATTGCATTTGTGATAAAAATAAATGTTTAATATCTGTAAAAGAAAAATAATAAATGTTTAGAAGATGAAGGACCAGAGGGCAAACAACAATGAAACATGACCATCATTTCCTTGGGGACTTCTCTGACTGGTTTTGTTGTCCTGTCAGTCAAACAATAAAAGAACTCCTGGAACTTAAAAAAAAAAGTGGCCCTCATTTGTATTTTGCAAGCAGGCAGCTTTCTACATATCCATGATCTAGGGCCAGGAATAGAGAGACTTGGCAATTATATTTGATTTTGCCATCTTTACGAGATGGTGTAACTACTAAGGAGGGCAGTGCATGAGGCTTTGACAAACAAATCAATTAATATGTTTGCTTTTACTTCCAGCCTTTGTTTCTACTACACTTTTTAACTGGGACAATTGATTTTTTTCTTTCTTCTTCAAGATGAAATAAAGGGAATGAACTAGGGAATGAGATAAATCTAATTTGAATTTCAAATCTATAGTGTAATTCTCAAATTTCAATTCTATAGGCCATGTGACATTGAGTAATTCTCCTCATCTCTCTGAACCTCAGCTTTTTCATCTGTGAAATGGAGATGACACTGTTTCTTAGAGTTATTGAGATGATCAAAGAAGATGATGAATGAAAAGCACCTAACACTGTGCCTGGCACTTTAAGGGCTCAAAAAATGCCGAATCCCTTTGACTTCCGCCCTAGCCCAGAACAAGGTTTCTTCATCTATAGGTTGGGGGGGAAATAACTGATTTTAGAAAGACCTTTCTAATACCCAGACTTATCCAAAGGGAAGGGTTCTCAGGAAGTAGTGAGCTCCAGGCTCTGAGGGTATTGAAGCAAGTTTGAAATGATGAAAAAGGTAAGGTCAGATGACTTTTGTGGTTCTTTAGAGTCTATTAAGTTAATATGAAAATATTCATTGACTTATATGTTACTGAATTTTTTCAGCAACTATTTATTGAATATTTGTCATGTGCCAAACCCTGGGTTAGGTAATGGGGATCCAAGGGTGAGCCAGAGAAGTGGGGTTCCTCTCCTCATGCAGTTCAGTCTTGAAATGAGACTAATAATAAACAGAAAATAAACCAAAAGAATAAGATAAGACCAAGTTTTCCAATCATAGAGAACTGTAAAACTCCAGTGCTAGGGGAAAATAGTATATAGAATTCATGGTTTTTTCCCCATGATTCTTTAGTCTTTGAATTTTAATTTTTTTCTCTTTCCTTTTTTTAAAATATTTTATTTACTTATTGGACAGAGATAGACACGAGAGAGGTAACACAAGCAGGGGGGAGTGGGAGAGGGAGAAGCAGGCTTCCTGCTAAGCAGGGAGCCTGATGCAGGCTCGATCCCAGGACCCTGGGATCGTGACCTGAGCCACCCAGGCACCCCTTTTCTCTTTCCTTTTTCAACCATTTTCTTATTTTATCAACTCTTTTTAAAAAATCTTTTTTAATTTTCGGGGCACCTGGGTGGCTCAGTTGGTTAAGTGACTGCCTTCGGCTCAGGTCATGATCCTGGAGTCCCTGGATCAAGTCCTGCATCGGGCTCCCTGCTCGGCGGGGAGTCTGCTTCTCCCTCTGACCCTTCTCCCTCTCCTGCTTTCTGTCTCTCATTCTCTCTCTCTCAAATAAATAAATAAAATCTTAAAAAAAAACTTTTTTAATTTTCATTTTTACAGTTAAGTTCTATCCTTTTGTTGTATTTAATTTTATATATATATAAAATTTTTTCTTTCTCTACAATTTTGGGATGCAGTTTCTTTTAACAAACCAAAATACATCCAGAATCTAGTGTTTGGCTCTGTATTCTTCACTTGTCTGATCATATGCTCTCTTTTTTGTCTTCTTCTTCTTCTTTTTTTTTTTTTTTGGTTGAAGTTTTAAAACTTTCATCTTTACAGTTATATTCTATCCTTTCAATGTATTTAATTTTATTTATATAAGTTTTTCTTTCTTTACAATTTTGAGATGTAATTTCCTCTAACAAACAAACCAAAATACACTCAGAATATATGTATTGCTCTGTTCTGTTCACCTGTCTGTTTATATTCCTTCTTTTTTTTTGTCTTTTAATTTTCATTTTTACAGTTATTCTATCCTTTCATTGTATTTAATTTTATTTTTGTACATATACAAGTTTTTCTTTCTTTACAATTTTGGGATCTAGTTTTCTAACAGACCAAAATACACACAGGATCCAGTGTATTGCTCTGTTCTGTTCAACCTGTCTGATTATATTCTCTCTCTCTTTTTTTTTAATAGATTTTTATTAATTTATTTGACAGAGAGAGACACAGCGAGAGAGGGAACAGAAGCAGGGGGAGTGGGAGAGGGAGAAGCAGGCTTCCCACAGAACAGGGAGCCCAATGCGGGCCTCAATCCCAGGATCCTGGGATTATGACCTGAGCCGAAGGACAGACGCCCAATGACTGAGCCACCCAGGCACCCCAATTTCTCTCTCTTTTTTTTAAAAAAAGATTTTATTTATTCATCTAAGAGAGAGACAGCATGAGCAGGGGGAGAGGCAGAGGGAGAAGCAAGCAGACTCCCTGCTGACTTGGAAGCCTGATGACATGATGTGGGGCTCGATCCCAAGACCTGGAGATCATGACCTGAGCCAAAGGCAGATGCCCAACCATCTGAGCCACCCAGACACCCCTATATTCTTTCTTTTTTAAATTTTATTTATTTTTTTTCAGTTTCAGGTCTCTTCTGATTTGTTTGGTGTGTATTTCTCTGGGGTTGTTGTTGCCATTTTAACATTTTGTTCTCTTGTTCATCTATTCTTCTCTTGTCAGAACGATAAGACAGAAAAATTCACCTCAAAAAAGAGAACAAGAGGCAGTACTGACTGCCAGAGACCTAATCAATATGGATATAAGTAAGATGTTGGAACTAGAGTTCAGAATAATGATTATAAAGATACTAGCTGGGCTTGAAAAAAAGCATAGAAGACACTAGAGAATCCCTTTCTGAGGAAATAAAAGAACTAAAATCTAATCAAAATCAAGTTGAAATAAAAAAGGCTATTAATGAGATGCAATAAAAAATGGAGGCTCTAAATGCTAGGATAAATGAAGCAGAAGAGAGACTTAGTGATATGGAAGATAAATTGATAGAAAATATAAAAGCTGAGAAAAAGAGAGATAAACAACTACTGGATCACCAGGGGAGAATTCGAGGGATAAGTGATACCATAAAGTGAAACAATATTAGAATAATTGGGATCCCAGAAGAAGAAGTGAGAGAGAGAGAGAAAGAGAGAGGCAGAAGGTATATTGGAGCAAATTATAGCAGAGAACTTTCCTAATCTGGAGAAACAGGAATTCAAGTCCAGGAGGCACAGAGAACTCCCCTCAAAATCAGTAAAAATGGGGTCAACACCCTAACATATAATAGTGAAACTTGCAAATCTCAGAGACAAAGAGAAAATCCTGAAAGCTGCTTGGGACAAGAGATCCGTAACCTACAAGGGTAGAAGCATTAGGCTGGCAGAGACCTATTCACAGAGACATGGCAGGGCAGAAAGGACTGGCATGATATATTCAAGGTGCTAAATGAGACAAATATGCAGCCAAGAATACCTTATCCAGCTAGGATGTCATTCAAAATTGAAGGAGAGATAAAAGGCTTCCAGGACAGAAACTAAAAAAATTTGTGATCCCTAAATCAGCCCTGCAAGAAATATTAAAAGGGATCCTTTAAGCAAAGAGAGAGCCCAGAAGTAACATAGACCAGAAAGGAAAAGAGACAATACACAGAAACACTGACTTTACAGATAATACAATGGCACAAATTCATATTTTTCAATAGTTACTCTGAATGTCAATGGACTAAATGCCCCAATCAAAAGACACAGGGTATCAGATTGGATAAAAAAGCAAGATCCATCGATATGCTCTTAGCAGGAGATTCATTTTAGGCCCAAAGACACCTCCAGATTTAAAGTGAGAGGGTAGAAAACCATTTATCATGCTAATGGACATCAAAAAAAAAAAAAGTGGTGGGGCAATCCTTATATCAGACCAATTAGATTTTGAACGAGAGACTGTAATAAGAGATGAGGAAGGACACTATATCATAATTAAAGGGTCTATCCAACAAGAAGATCTAACAATTGTAAATATTTATGCCCCTAACATGGGAGCAGCCAATTATATAAACCAATTAATAACAAAATTAAAGACACACACCAATAATGATACAATAATAAGTAGGGGACTTTAACACCCCACTCACTGCAATGGACAGATCATCTAAGCAGAAGATCAACAAGGAAACAAGGGCTTTGAATAACACACTGGACCAGATGGACTTCACAGATATATTCAGAGCATTCCATCCTAAAGCAACAGAATACATATTCTTCTCAAGTGCACATGGAACATTCTCCAGAATAGATCACATGCTGGGTCACAAATCAGGTCTCAACCAGTACCAAAAGATTGGGATCATTCCCTGCATATTTTCGGACCACAATGCTTTGAAACTGGAACTCAATCACAAGAGGAAATTTGGAAAGAACTCAAATACATGAAGGCTAAAGAGCATCCTACTAAAGAATGAATGGGTCAACCAGGAAATTAAAGAATTTTAAAAAATCATGGAAACAAATGAAAATGGAAACACATCTGTTCAAAACCTCTGGGACACATGAGGCGCCTGGGTGGCTCAGATGGTTAAACGTCTGTGTTTGGCTCAGGTCCGGACCTCAGGGTCTCGGTATTGAGCCCTGCATCAGGCTCTGTACTCAGTGGGGATTCTGATTGAGATTCTTTCTCTTCCTCTCCCTCTGCCCCTCCCCCACCTGTGCTTGCTCTCTCTCAAATAAATAAATAAATTTGAAAGAAAGAAAGAAAGAAAGAAAGAAAGAAAGAAAGAAAGAAAGGAAAACTAGATCACTAGAGCTGGATGAGATCAACAAAGGAGTGAGAAGACAAGAGGGCAGAGAATGGAGTCCTGAATCACTTCAACATTTGGAGGTTTGCTTAACAAGAAGCCAGCAAAGGAGACTACGAAGCATCAGCCAATAAAGTAGAAGGAAATGAGGAGAGTGGTATATTATTGAAGCTAATAAAAGAAAGTGTTTCAAGAAGGAAGTGGTTAACCATGTTGAAAACTTCATAGAAGTTGATCAAGATGAGAACAACAGAGAAGTGTATGTGGCAAACTAGAGGTCAATGGTAGCTTTGACAAGTGCAACTTCAGGGAGTGAAGAGGTTAAAAGGTTGGTTGGATCATTATGAAAGGTTAAGAAGCAGAGAAAGCAAATATAGACAACCTTCCCATAAGTTTGAAGACTTATGGAAAGGTTATGAGTAGGAGTAAGTGGAATGGTAGCTGAAGAGACATATGCTGTCAAGGGAGAATTTTGTTTATGTGTGTTTTAAGATGAGAGATCCTTAGGCATGTGATTTTGGTGATAGACATGATCTGGTAGAGAAGGAGAAATTGATGGTACAGCAGAGGGAAGGAATTTGATCCTTGGGAAGACAAAGGAATGTGGGATAAGAGTGTAGACCCAGGCGAAAAAGCAGTGAATATGGATCCTGATGCAGATCAGAAAAGTTGGTAGACTCTCTCTCTCTGTGTCAAAGAAAGAAAGAAAAGTTGGTAGATTAGGTGGGAGGAAGATGAATCTGAATGCTTCTACTTTCTCAATGAATTATAAATTGAAGTCATATGAGAGTAAAGGGGGACGGAGTATGTTGGAGGTTTGAAGGGAGTAGAAAAGGTCATATTGGACAGTGGGGAAACAAAATTATACCAGGGGGAGTATAGCAGCATTACTGGGAAGTATTGAGTCTCATTTAAGGTTTGTAGTCAGAAATTTCAGTTGAGACAGCACAGGTGAGTGATTTTCTCCAGCTATGTCCAGCTGCTCAGGTACAGATGTGGACTACCCAGTGAATTGGGTGTAAGAGGATTTGGAGTTCTGTCAGTGAATGTAATGAAAAGAAAGTGACAAGAGAATTATGAATATTTACAATATTGTGATTGCAGTGATGTACCATGGAATCTAGACTGGAAGAGAAAAAAATGAGAACATGAGGAGAGTGGGATAATTAGTGAAAAGTGATGATGTTGATAGATTAAGGGACTCCATGAGGTTCTGATTCAACACTAGGAGGTGTATTGATTTCATTCCTTACAGTGGCAGAATAAAGGAGAAAAGTCATAAGATTATCCTAATAGATGCTGAAAAACCATTCAGTAAAATCCCACACTCCTGTTAACACACACACACGTACACACACACACACGATTATTAGTAAGCTGGGAATCGAAGGAAATTTTCTTTCTTTTTTTAAAAAGATTTTATTTATTTATTTGACAGAGAGAGACACAGCAAGAGAGGGAACACAAGCAAGGGGAGTGGGAGAGGAAGAAGCAGACTTTCCGCCGAGCAGGGAGCCCAACGTGGGGCTTGGTCCCAGGACCCCTGGATCATGACCTGAGCTGAAGGCAGACACTTAACGACTGAGCCACCCAGGCGCCCCTAGAAGGAAATTTTCTAAATGAGTTAATATATGAAGCAATTTCAACAGTAACTATTACAAATATATAGTAACTTCTGCTATTATTACTCTCTTTCGATAATGTCATAAAAAGTATCTACCAGAAACCAAAGGCAAACATTGTACTTATAGTAGAGGTTCCACATAAGGGGATGCCCACACTATGATCCCTATAAAGGCAATCATCCAAAGTTAAATGTGTAAATATTATATAAAGATACATTCTATCAAATTAAATACTTTATATTAAATGCAGGTGCATCCTATTAAGTTGAACATGTTACTATAATATGCACAAATTGTGCTACTCATGCAAGGAGTAAGTGAGAAAGTATTTGGGCAGGTCTTTAGTCTCCATGAAACTCACCTCAAATAAACTGTTAACATTTTGTTCCCTTGTCAGGATATTTCTAGGGGACAAAGGGAAGTCAGCTGCAGAATATCTTTCATGATGTCTTGCTGTCTGTTGAATGAAGCAACTCTAAGTCAACAATTTGTTTAGATAATGCCTTCATGCTTCTGATAATTGAGAATCTACCCACCAAATTACCTGTTAAAATAAAAATGGCAAACCCCACTAAGTTAAAGTACAAGAAAAGCATGTCAATGATCATCTGTACCAGTCAACAACGCATTGGAGTACTTAACTACTGCTGAGAGACAAGAAAAGATAAGGTATAAATATTGGGAAAAAAGACACAATAAAAGCATTATTTGGAGAAGAAAGATAGAGCCTACAAAATCTAAGTGAACCAACTCAAAAATTATTAGAATGAATGTTAATAAAATAGTTATATATAAAAGTATCATATATAAATCAATAGCTTTCCTATAGACCAGCAATAACTTATTAGAATATGTCACAGAAAAGAATCAATTCACAATTGCTGCAATGTCTATAAAGAACCAAGAAATAAACTTAGCGAGAAATGTGAATGTCCTATATGAATAAAATTATGAAGTTTTACTCTAAGATATAAAAGAATATCCAAATAAATAAAGACATATGGGAGACCACTTATTTTAAAGATGCTATTGCTACTCAAATTGATCTTTTTAAAAATGAAATTTGGCAGGTTGACAAAAAAATGTTAGAATAGCCAAAAATGTTGACCAAATGGGAGGAAGGACTTACCCTATCAGATATCAAAATGTGCTATGAGGCTATAATTATTCAAATATAATATTATTAGCCCAAGAATAGATGAACATAAAAAGAATAAAGTGTCCAAGACCAGATTTTCTTCCCCATCTATCTATCTATTGGAATTTGGTATGAAAAAGATGGCATTTCAAATTAGAGGGGAAAGTAATGTCTGTAACAAATGTTGTTGGGACAACTGGCTATTCATTTGGGGAAAATAATATGCTCCAATCATTGCTCACACCATACACAAACATAAATTCCAGGTTGATTAAAATAGATAAACTTCAAACACAAAGTAATACTAGAAACTATAGAATATTTCCAAATTTGGGGGCGCCTAGGCGTCAGACTCTTGGTTTCAGCTCGGATCATGATCTCAGGGTCTTGGGATCGAGCTCCACGTCAGGCTCCATGCTCGGCACAGAGTCTTCTTCTCTTCCTCTCCCTCTGCCCCTTTCCCACTCTCTTTCTTTCTAAAATAAATAAATAAACCTTTAAAAGAAAAGTATTTCCAAATTTTGAGGGGGTAGGAAAGGCATTCTTAAACAAAATACAAAATTTGGAAAACATAAGGAAAAAGACCAACAGATTTAATAACATGAAAAATTAAAACTTCTCACAAAAAACACCATAAAATTAACTATAAAGGTCTCCTACAAAACAGTCAGTTTAAGACTAACAATACAGTAGAAAAATTAGCAACTCACAGAAGAAATACAAATGCTAACAAATTTGAAAATGTGTGCAATCATTAGCAGTCAGAAAAGCAAAGTACAAAAATGAGATATTCTAAAAATTCCTAGCTTCAGGCGTGCCTGGGTGGCTCAGTCAATTAAACGTCTGCCTTCGGCTCACGTCATGATCTTGGAGTGCTGGGATCCAGCCCCGCATTGGGCTCCCTGCTCAGTGGGCAGTCTGCTTCTCCCTCTCCCTCTACTCCTTCCCCCCTTGTGCTCTCTCTCGCTCACTCTCTTTCTCAAATAAATAAATAAGTTTTTTAATAAATAAATAAAATAAAATAAATTCCTAGCTTGAAAAATATCTTAAAAATTTATTACAACCAGTTGGTAAGAGTGAGGGAAATTACTATTCTTGAACAATGTTGGTGGGGTTGTAAATTGGGACAGCATTTTTGGAAGGTAGTCAGTCAGTGTCTATTAAACACTTAATTGTGCCTTCCCTCAAAAACTTAATTCCATTCTTGGTCTTTGTTTTGAGAAACTTGAACTTCTGTACACACATACAAGGATGTTTTTTCATTACAGCATTGATTGCAATAGGAAAAAATAGAAACAACCTTAACATTCACCAAAGGGAATTGTTAAAAAGTGGGTTACATTTCTATTATAGAATAATAAGTAACAATTAAAATGTATGAGATACATCCATATGTATTGGCATGGAAGGATCTCTAAAATATATTCTTTTTTTAAAGATTTTATTTATTTATTTGATAGAGAGAGACAGCGAGAGAGGGAACACAAGCAAGGGGAGTGGGAGAGGGAGAAGTAGGCCTCCCACCTAGCAGGGAGCCCAATGCGGAGTTCGATCCCAGGACCCTTATCATGACCTGAGCCGAAGGCAGGTGCTTAACGACTGAGCCACCCAGGCGCCCCTAAAATATGTTCTTAAGGTGAAAAAATACAGTTGCAGGATAAGATGTACAATACGATCTTGTTAATATAAAATATAATATGTACTTGTATATGCAAAACTATAAATGCACAGAAAAATGTCAGGGATTATATGTACACATAAAATATTAATAGTGGTTACCTCAATGAGGGAATTAGGAGGCAGCTAAAGAGGACTATACACTTTATTCTTTTTTTTAATTTTTAAAAAAGATTTTATTGATTTATTTGAGAGGAAGAGAGCACAAGCGAGAGAGAGCATGAGCAGGGGAGGGGTGGAGGGAGAAGGAGAAGCAGACTCCCCACTGAACAGGGAGCCCAACACGGGACTTGATCCCAGGACTCCATAACCATGACCTGAGCTGAAGGCAGACGCTTAACTGACTGAGCCACCCAGGCGCCCCTATGCATTTTATTCTATTCATTTTCATAGAATGTTTAAAATAAAGTAATGTATTCATATAGTATTTGCATAACACTAAAATAGAGAGTAATAAAATGAAAGATAATTATAGAAAGTTTGGAACATAAATAGAAACATCCATCCCATCTAAAATCAGAATGGAGATTTTATTAATGTAGTACATGACCATTGTTTAGATTTCCATACCGCTACATCTCAAGAGTCTTGCTTCCCAAAGGCAACCATTTTCAATTCTTTTTTTTTTTTAAAGATTTTGTTTTTATTTATTCGTGAGAGACAGAGAGAGAGAGAGAGGCAGAGGGAGAAGCAGGCTCCCAAGGAGCAGGGAGCCTGATGCGGGACTCGATCCCAGGACCCTGGGACCATGACCTGAGCCGAAGGCAGACGCTTAACCATCTGAGCCACCCAGGCGCCCCAACCATTTTCAATTCTTTTGGGTGTTTCTTTGGATATTTACTGCCATATTTCTAGGTAATGTGCTTATAATAGTGTTCAATTAATCACTAAAACTATCTAATGACTATTGTGGAAGATGTGAATTTAATACTGTTATTGACATCCCCTCCTCTCCTTCCATTTTCCCAATAGAGTTATATTACACTTTTTGTTTAAATTTTGCCTTATTTTTTACTACAGAATAAAGCATCCAAGACCATTCTCTCTCTCCCTCTCTCCTATCTATCTATGTATCTATCTATCTATTGAAATTTAGTACATGAAAAAGATGGCGTTTTAAACTAGAGGGGCTGAGGGATGAGGGAAATAAGGAGAGGTTGGTAAACGTCCAGCCATGAGATGAATAGGTCTAATGTACTAATATAAAACATGGTGATTAAAGTTGATAACACTGTTATATAATTAAAATTTTCTAATGGAGTGCCTGGGTGGCTCAGTAGGTTGAGCGTCTGACTCTTGATTTCAGCTCAGGTCATGATCTCAAGGTCGTGGGATCAAGCCCCAGGTTGGGCTCTGTGCTGGGCCTGGGCATGGAGCCTGCTTGGGATTCTCTCTCTCCCTCTGCCCCTCCCCACCCCCTCTAAAAATTAAAATAAAATTTGCTAAGAGAGTAGATCTTAAATGTTCTCTCACACACATGCAAATAAATATGTGAAGTGATGTATCTGTTAATTAACTAGATGGTGGAAATCCTTTCACAGTGTATATGTATATCAAATTACCATGATGTATGCTTTAAATATCTTACAACTGGGATGCCTGGGTGGCTCAGTCAGTTAAGCATCTGCCTTCGGCTCAGGTCATGATCCTGGGGTCCTGAGATCAAGTCAGCCTCAGGCTCCTTGCTCAGCGGGGAGCCTGCTTCTGCCTCTGCCACTCCCCCTGCTTGTGCTCTCTTTCTCTCTGACAAATAAATAAATAAAATCTTCAAAATAAATAAATATCTTACAGTTTTGTCAATTATATTTCAATAAAACTAGAGGAGGGGAAGAGAGTCACATTAAGAACTATTTAAAATGAAAAACAAGGCAATTATTAACTCTAACAAGAACAAAAAAGTTAAACAGGAAAGGAAGTAGAGTCATAGCGGGTGATAGCTGTGGATTCTGGATATGTCTTGAAGACAAAATTTACTGATCAACTGGATATAGGGTATAAAAGAAGGAGAAGCATTAAGTATAATTCCAAGCTTTCAGTGCTGTTAGTACCCTCAGATGTCTGCATCTCTGTGCCTGAGGCCTTTCCCAGAAGTGCAAAGGAAAAGCCAGTCTTAACAATTCCTACCTTAGATTGGAAGTGCTGGGAAATTAACCCTGACCGTGGAAAGCTAGGTCGACCAGTGATCCTCAGGAATTGGTGTATAAATACCCCAGCTCCTTAGTCCCTCAGATGGGATAATTGTGACACATGTGTTTTATATCAGTTCCCACAAGATTAAGCTCCAGCCAATCAGTGGTAGCTGGCGGAACAACACATCTTCATTGGCCACCTCCTCTTCCATATATCACTTCCCCACTCTCCTCCTAGTGAATCCTGCTTCTGTAAAATATAAACTATTTGTACTTGAATCCTTATCTCAGAGTCGGCTTTTGGGGAAACTCAAAGTAACACACAAGGTTTTCAGCTTAAGCAGCTGGGAAAGACATTTATTAATGTTTATCTATTAATAAATTGACATTTATTAAGATGAGGAAGACTTTGGTGGGTGCAGATTCTTGGGGGGAAGACCAGTAGTACATTTTGAACACATTAGTTTTGAGGTGCCTATTAGAGCACCAAGTGGAGAGGTTTAGTAGACATAG